TAATATTGTCCACGAAGTTTCGCAATTGAAGAAGTTCCTCTCTGCTATATTGTATGGCAGAGTAGGTGCGGTCGGCTAGCATGTTGCGAACCATGTTAAAAGTAAAACGGCAAAAGTAAAAGAAATATGTACAAAATACGAAAATGGGCAAAGTTGGAGAGGAGCACGAAGACGATGCGGCCATCTTCACCGGCGCATCAGAATTTTTCTGCTATAAATGATGTTCTTGGATCAATATCAATTACTGCTTTATGAATGTGTATGATTCATTTCACTGCTGTTGTGTTATGGCTAGTTTAATCTTCAACAATGCATCATGTTCTTCATCATATCTCTTCTCCTTCTTCTTCCTCATCTCTCAAGTAAATAAAACAAAGGATAATATAGTATTGTGATTAGTCCCTTGTTCAGCATTTCTTTCCTTTTTACCTTTTCATTCTGGTATTGTCGTATTATTTGATGTAGTTATTGATACCTGACTTCTTCATTTAAGAATTGAAATGTTCTTTTCTTTTTCATTTTCTTTTCATACATTTTGAAAGTTATTTATCATAAAGTTTGTAGGTATTTTACAAAAACATTTTTTAGGTCTTGTATGGATGTAATTGGATAAATCACGGGAGGGCACATAACTTGATTTTCTGCCATTCTGCTTTAACTTACTTTGTTTTCTTGTGAGTGACTGTATGAATAATATTGAATTACTTAATGAATTTAAAAACAGCATCAATGTTTGAACATCTTCTTTGTGGCTGCCGGCCTGGACATGGCCACCAGAGGAAGGTTATGTCACATCCCAGTGACCGCTCTCTGATCATTCAGAGGGTTTCCTTTTTCTTTTTTTAATGGTGGCTAATTGACAGTTCAGAGGAGAGTATAAAAAAAGCAAGTGGAGCTCAACTTTCTCAGAGATTGAAAAGCAGACGGACAAAAAAAGACCAGAAAGGAGGAGAAAATAGAAGCTGGTCGTCGGGCTTTAACGTGATCGCACTGATAAAAACTTCATCCATCCTTTCTCCATCCTCAGTCCCTCCCTCCTCTTCCTCCTCTGTGCTACTTGTCAACAAGTGGGTAAAACCTTTCTTTCACAGTGTGAAGTAAGGGTGTGTGTGTGTGTGTGTGTGTGTGTGTGTGTGTGTGTGTGTGTGTGTGTGTGTGTGTGTGTGTGTGTGTGTGTGTGTGTGTGTGTGTGTGTGTGTGTGTGTGTGTGTGTGTGTGTGTGTGTGTGTGTGTGTGTGTGTGTGTGTGTGTGTGTGTGTGTGTTAGGACTACTTTTATACGAATCAACAAAGAAGAAGGCCTCAGTGTTTCCTGTCTGCAGTACAAGGTGGTCCCTCCAGTGTGTGTGTGTGTGTGTGTGTGTGTGTGTGTGTTCGCTCCCAGTGAGAGTCAACCTAGCGCTCCATCGGGGACCCCATGCTCGTTGTCATGGCAACAGTATCCCCCTTTACCTCCCCCCTCTTCTCCACTCACTCCTTCCCTCATCAGTTTTCCCACAGAACAAAACCAACATTGTACTCTGTGTGTGTGTGTGTGTGTGTGTGTGTGTGTGTGTGTGTGTGTGTGTGTGTGTGTGTGTGTGTGTGTGTGTGTGTGAGACATTCAGGTCAGATTAGTTTGTGTTCATTGAGCCTGTGTTCAGGGAGAAACACACACATATATACTCTCGCACACACACTTGTCGCTCTTCATTCACTCACAATGCGCTGCTGATGAGAGGGCTACGATGCACACACACGCACACACACACACACACACACACACACACACACACACACACACACACACACACACACACACACAAGTAGTGCTTCATATCAGTTGGATTCACACGCTGAGTGAGAGGTTCAACACTTCTTCTGAAACGTTCACACAGTTTTAAAGTAAACAGTTCAAAGAGGAAATTCGTTTTTACCGTCACAGTTTTCCAAATTCCCAAATAAATCCACAATCATTTAAAATCAGGACCATGTGCCGCCGTGGTCACAGTGCTAAATTCAACTTATATTGCATTAGAAATAAGGAATATGACAATCATGTCAGTCACTTGTATTTTTGTCTAAAAACAAACTTAGGGAGTGGCTAGTGTCTGATAAGCTGAGCTGAAGTGGTTCAATTGCTTATGAGACATATTTGGAGAGTTGCTTGATAGCCAAATACGAATTGTTGACATCCTGTTTGCATCTGTGCAGAACCACATTGCTGATAAGTGATGGACAAACTCTAAATGAGGATTCTAATGAATTATTTTCCTGGTAAAACTCACTTTGGCCAACCTTTCCCAATTAAGGTCTTCTTTCCTGATTGATTTGAGAGAATCTGTCTAATTTTGCTCACAGATGTTTTGGCGTACTCCGGCACTAAGTCAGGGAGATCTATAAAGATAAGTGAGAAGTGGATGTGAAGCGTAGACTCACCTAACAGATAGATGTGGGACTCGAACCTGTGACCTTTCTGTTACGTAACAGTTGGTTCCCATCCAGTCTGTCCTAGAGACGTTCTCGCATGACCAATGGTGGTCTAGTCGCCCCTGTGTGTGTGTGTGTGTGTGTGTTTCTGCGTGTGTGTGTGGCTTCATTAGTGAACAGAGGTGGTCTGTTCAGTAGTTTGTATCAGAGGGGCGAGCTCTCATCACTACTAATGAGAACAACATCACCAACCTCCTGAAACATTCTGTTCCTCCAGCTCTCCATGAATCTCTCTCTGTTTCTCTACTTCTTCCTCTCATTCACTTTTTAAAATGTCAGTTTACCTGAACTATATAACACTTATTTTCTCACTTACCTGGAGTATCGCTGGTCAGGTTTCCATTGAAAAGTATCGCAAATTAAACAGAATTTCGAGAAAACTGTTAAAGAAAATTTGAATGAATTCTGGTGTCCATGCGCTTCCACTATGCGTAAAAGAACCACCAGATTGGCATTTTGGCCGTCGCCATCTTGTTATTTTTGGGACACAGGAAGGTGGAGCTAAGTGTAACCAAATGCTTCAAAGGTATTCTTTTCAGTGTTGTTAAAATATACTTTCATGAACTGAAAACTGTAGTTTGAGTAGTGAGATAAAAACACGTCCCAGGTACAGGTAGCCCCGCCCCAAAGCATACCCTGCTTTATTGTGACCATAATATACTAAATTAACATCATGCTGCATTCAAAAAGAACTAAAACTAGCCATTGGGACCAAACATTTATTAGAAAAAGTGTTAAACATGGTAATAAATCAAGTCATAAGCAGTGTACATTCCTCATAGACTTCTATACAATCTGACAACCTGTTGAGGTTTTGCCGGATGTTTTGTCCTTTTCTCATAGACTTCTATACATTCTGACCTATTTCTGTAAACAGTTGAGGTTTTTCGATGCCACAACTGAATCCAGATCATCAATTATATGATCTTAATTATTCTGAAATGGGCCATTTTATTATTCAGGTTATTTATTGTTGAGAAAGGGCTGTCTGACAGTGATCACGTTTGTGCCAGAAGTTTCTTTAAATAGTCTTTGCATCATTTTGTGGAGAGCAGGACAGAAGAAATCATTTTCCTTTAAATTTGTAAATCCTCTTCATGGGTTGTCGGGGGTAACGAGGCGAAGACAAGGATGGAGGGCGGGGGGGGGGCTCACATTGATTAGAATAGAGTTTGAGTTTCTAAATTAACAGAACTGTGTGTGTGTGTCCGTGTGTGTCCCTGTGTGTGTGCGAATTTGGGCTGGGATCCCATGGCAACGGGACAGTAGTGAGGTCATTGATATGCAGCAGCCGCTCTGCAGAGAGAAAATCTTCTCTTCTCAGAGCGGAGAGGGATTCCTTTACACCGTTTAAAACGACATGACAGACACACAACAAAAAGCTTTAATGAGCTTCTGCATAAAGCACATTTTTCATGTTGTGTGTTTTATTTCATTAACGGTTTGATCCAGTGTTTTTGCTGCTGAAGCCAATATCTGAGTCCATTCAACTCACATATTGAGTTACATTCAGACATTAATGATCTTGTTTCTTTTGTCTTTGATGATAACACCTCATCCAATTTTTAACATTGCCATTTTTTATTCTTATGTATTTAAAGGTGGGGTAGGTAAGTTTGAGAAACCGGCTCGAGATACACTTTTTGTTATATTCCATGGAATGCTCTTAACATCCCGATAGCAATGAATATCTTAAGTGCTTTGACAAAAAAATCCATAAAAAAATGTCAACTGTGGAAGCCGTAGTACTGTAAAAAGCACGACCAATCATTTTAGCCGGCCCGGCTAAAATAACTGGATGGCCTACCTGCCTGTCAGCCTTCCATCTGTGTACAAACTTATCTCGTGCCCTCATTGGTCATGTGCGCGTTCGTGTGTGTTGGAGGAGGGGCTCTATAAGGAAGTGGCAGATTTTTTCCGGCTGTGTATTTTCAAATTCTAGCGATCTCAAGCCGGTTTCTCCAAAATTACCTACCCCACCTTTAACTATAGAATATTTGGCATATATAGTTAATAACTTGCTTTAATCATCAGCTCTACTAGACCATATTAAATGTTCAAAGTAAAACAGCGTGTCTTCTGCATAGCTGAAGATAGCAATCATATTGAGTTGCAAAGGGTTCGCTGGTCCAGAATTGTTTATCCCAACTCTCGACTACACCCATTTTAATCTTTTCAGTATTATGATTAAAAACGGGACAGATTGTTAGGCTTAGTGTTCAGATATTTCTTACCCAAAAGCACCTTGGTCATCTGACTTCTCTCCTTTGGTGTCTTTGATCACCGGCTTCTTATCAAAGAACCAGATACTTTCTAACACAGTTGTTCAACCAGGAGTTTCACAACCTAGTCATAAAAGAAGCGGGAAATCACAAAACATTGTCTTTTGTAAGAATAAATTGACCTATACACCCAAAATAGCTTCTTCCACTTGTTACTTGCTTGCAGAACTAATGAATACAAAGACATGTTACGGTTATTGTCAGCTTGCTCAGTCACATCAATATTGCATCAATAAATTCTCCAGACAAATCCAGTTTAAATTGCACAGCTTTATTTATAAATTACCACCTCTACATCCCAATGGTTGGTTTATGCCTTGTTCACAAGATAAAAACAACCTTCAGAGACACTTAAAAAGACAAATATAAGACAGGCACTAAAGTTAATCTGTTCTGTGAGGGCACTCAATGTCAACTTCATTCACATTTACAAGGAACTCAAACACGACACCAGTGGGACTCGAGCTGTTAGTATGTCTTGTTTCTTTTGTGCAAAATTGGAAACAAACATCTTGACCTTCTGTAGATCGGGGCCACTGTAAAAGTGCTGTATATCAAACAGTGAATTTTAGCACCCAGACGCTCTAGCTCTTTCTCCATATTGGAATTTCAAATACAAAGTAACTATTCAGTGTAAAAGATATGTTTGTTGAATACAAAGTTAGTCAGACTTCTACTCTTGTTTCTGAATGCGTTGATTTCGGTAGATTTAGCTGAGGGCTGAGGAGGCACTAAGGCACAGGCGGCTCTGACACATACCTATATGGATTTTACATTGTGAAACTGAGCATTACAAAGGCATACACATTCTTGTGACATAGAAAAATGACTATCTCTATTCCCTTCACACAGAGATGCAATTAGTTGTAGATCTAACATTAAAACAAGCTACATTCATAACTTCTGTTCCTTCGTTTTGTTCTAGTTGTTTGACAGTCTGAGTGAAAAGACTGTGCTAGAGACATATTAATATGCTTTAAAATGTACTACACAGTTTAACTTCCTGTACAAAGACACCGCATCAGCACTTATAAGGTCTTGGTCCTGTTCAAAACTCCTCCCTTCCCCCCCTTCACTTCCTTCTGAAAACAGTCATTATTCTTCCCAGAAACACAAGTTGTAAAAATAATTTGACTATAAACAGTTCAGCTTCGTCCATTTCATCCATAGTTTGCAAACAGATCAAGACATATTCTTTCATAATCATGCTCACAAAGCTCTGATTGGTTGATTGTTGTTACATAGAGACTATTTTTTATCTGAACTCTGACCAGGGTTGACATCTTACACAAGTAGCGCACAGCAAAAGATGTCAAACGGACATGGACAACCCCACTTACTGGTGGTTTCATGATCTCTCAAATTAGACGTTTGTTGATGTTTTTCGTCCCCTTTACCCTAGGAGGTTTGGTTTCTTCCGGATTCACGCCAGCCAGTGGAAATAGTTGTCATACAGTTATTTTTAATAGCTCTTCATAGATGTCAACCTCTTTTTTATTGATAGTTTGACAGATGGACCAATGATCAATGGCCCCACAGGTTGAAAATGTGTCAACTGTACACTCTTCTCAGCAAACTAGGTTAATAGTCAGAGCCAAAACTAAGAAGTTACTCACTTGATTCTGCACTATACCAAAATATGTTCGTGTGGCACTAAACCTCAAAGCAGATTCTTTTTACTCCTCATCAATCTTCCATCACAGTTTGAAACTACTCATTTAGCCTTTACACAGTAGATCTTCCTTATAGAAATATTGCTTTCAGCTTCAGACCAACCAAAGAAGATATCCAGGATATTTCTTATCATACATTTTTACACCAGTTGGAGGGAAGTGTCCTTTCGGAGGGTCCTGAAACGGGCTCCTGGTTTTACAACAGGTGGTTGTGCAAGAACAGCAAGTTTTCTAATAATCACTACGGATTAAGCATCACTTCCTGCACAGACAGGAAGCTGAAAGGGGTAACACTGTGTCCATAAAGGAATATCATACAAATGGAAACTCTGAGAGAAGGAAAGAGGACAGAAAAAAATGAAGAAAAGATGGTCGTTGGTCAACAAGCATTGTGGAGAAGAAAGGATAAAGGAAACTGAAGCGTTAAGGAAACCTTAGGGTAGAAGAGAAACAGAGTTTGAGGATAAAAAAGAAGATAGGTTGTTTTATGGAAGAGGAGATGTTGGATGCTATAGCTCTAGCTGGAGATCGACAAGATGGCTGAGGTTTCTTTAGCCTTGTCGAAGAAGATGGACGTCTCATTGGCCGCCTTCAGTTTGATATTTGGTGAGCCTTGAGTCGCGTTCGGCTGACATTCCTGACAGCAGCAGCAGCAGCAGTCCATGAAGGCCTGACCGAGAGCCTGGAACACAACGACAAGCAGTCAGAGCTGTCCGTTAATGGCTTTCAAAGAACTATATTACTGTGAACCACTCTAACTATTACAGCTGGATCTGAACAGGCCAGAGGTTTGATGTTTAAATGCAAAAAATAGTGAGCATCAATTTTGCAAAGGTTGGTCAATTAATGCAACCAACCTTCTACCACACCAAACAGTATATTTAAAGGAATAGTTGTCAAGTCTGTCTGTTGAAGCCACACCGCTAAAGTAATTGACAAAGTGAGGGTTGCCTATCCATCTGCCCAAGATTCTTTGTCTCGGACGTGATCTCATGACGTTTTTCTGAGTACATGCCCAAGCAAGATGGTACACAAGATATCACTTTTAAAGTTTCTAGGGATGCCTGATGTTATTGGCATGTTGTTGGTATTGGCAGACAAAGGCTATACAAGGAAATATCGGCAACGGCATACATTGGTGTTAAGTTAAACTTCATTTAGTTGTTTTCTTATTTTGCCCAGTTAATGTGTTGGTCTTAAAAGCAGTGTACATCACATTCATATCTACAGGAGAGACCTTGTGTTCTTCTGCAATTAGATGGAACAATATGTGAGTATTTTGGTATCTGCATTGCCAATTTGTAATAAGTTGAAAGAAATCGGCGAATGGGACATCGGCAAAAACCCAATATTGTTAAGAGTCCCTTCTACTTGGGACGTGTGATTGTGCAAGTGATGGTACTACTACTATGTAGAATGGCCGCTAAATGCACCAGTGAAGTCCCATACCTTATAGTTACATATAGTTACATGATTGGGTCTTAAAGCTGTGTATGATCAGTTCTGGTTGAAGAGGACCAAAAGGGGCCCGTTAAAGTCAACAATACTTTATTTTTAACAGCTTGACCTACCTTGCACAGACACAGCAGCAGCACCGGGGTCACTGATGATTTAAAGAACAACAGGAAGTGATGCAACAGAGCCAGCATGGAGGCAGTTTCCTCGGAGATGGAGATGTTTGCGTAGGCCAGCGTGATGTTACAGACGTGTTCGGGCAGAGCACAGACGCCGTAAACCACCGCCAATGCCAGCAGGGTGCAGTTCAGCTGCCGCTCCAACGCCTGGTGCTGCTGGTGCTTCTGATTGGTCGAGCGGTCGTCATGGCTGCGCTGCTTTTGGGTGGAGCTGGAGTCGCTGTTGACGTTGCGGGTGGCCATTTGGCAGAGGACGGTGAAGAGGATGGGCAGGCAGAAGTAGCAGCCGAAGCACCACCACATACGCCCCTGCAACAGAGAACAGCAAACATCTGATGACCTTGTGAAGCATTTTGGAAAACTTCTGGTACGATCTGGTACTTTATGGTTCTGTAAAGTACTTTGGCGTAGAGTTGAGTCATTTTGCTGAACTTCAAAGAGCTTTGATTTGAGAGCTCCGTAGAAATCCAGCATTTTTACCAGAATTTAGGTTACTATTTTGAACTTTTTGCACAGTCAAGAATACAATTTGACTTTTAAACTCGCCACATAATTTGATTGTTTGATCAACTTTCAAAAGTAAATCAGTAAGCATTCATATCTCTAATTGATTCATGTGACAGTTAAAGAAACCTTGTTATTTTATAATTTCTGGTCTATTCTGAGTATGCTCATTGTTTTCAATGTCAGTCACAATAAAGATCTTTTACTCAATCCCAAGAGAAACTGAGCCAATGAAGAGATGGAAGATGTCAGGTCTACTTCCAGAACTACTTTGGTGAGCTAGTTCCCTAAAGGTCCCCTATTATACTGTGTTTCATCAATGTATTATAGGTCTCAGATATATACAAAACATGTCTCTGAAGTGTTTGGCTCCAAACACCAAACAGATCATTGCAGCATCCCATAATCCCCTCTGTTTCAGCCCTGTTTCAAAAGTGCTGATTCTCTGTCTGTTACTTTAGATGAAAATAAGGAGCCACTCCCCACGCCCCTCTGAGAGAGATTTGGTTAAAAATAACTCAAAGGTGCTCTAGGAGGAGATTCAGGTGATAAGGTGGGGGGGGGGGGGGGGGGTTACCTTGGTTGGTGATTGGCTAATGGTTACACAAGCCAAAAAATCGTTATGACATCATAAAGTGGCCAAAATCTGATCAGCTCATTTTCAGACAGGTTTTTATATAAATGGATCAGGACAAAAAGTGAGAGAATCTTTTTTCCTGAAACTTTCAGAGTCTCTTTACACATGAAAATGTGGATTTTGCATAATAGGCGACCTTTAAAACTCTTCGTGTGAGTTAAACCTGTGTATGTTATGTTCTCACCTGGTGATACTTGAGCAACAGAGAGTGCAGGGAGTCGGGCAGGTAGAGGGACAGAGGGGAGGAAGGTGTGATGGAGCAGGAGTCCACCAGCAGGCCTGATGTCGGGGACACGGACTGGGTGAGCTGCCAGAGGAAGATCTCCGGGCTGGAGAGCAGTAGAGCGGTGAGCCACACCAGAACCAGCTGCAGCAGCATGGAGCGGCAGCGCTCCATCAGCCGGGCCTTGGGCTGCGAGGAGGAGGTGGCGGCGTGGAAACGAGCGATGCCCAGAGCGCACAGAGTGAAGGAGGTGAGGCCCAGAGACACGGTCTACAGGAGAGGACGAGAACAATGGAGGTTGTTTTGAAGGTATTTGCTTTGGTAAGACAAGGCAAGTTTATTTATATAGCTACTTTAAACACAAGGACATGCAAATTCCTATATCTGGTGGCAGTGGTTCAGTCTGTAGGGACTTGGTCTTGGAACCGAAGGGTCGCGGGTTCAAGTCCCGTTTGACCCAAAAAAAGAAGGAAGAAAGCTGGTAGCTGGAGAGGTGCCAGTTCACCTCCTAGGCCACTGCCAAGGTGCCCTTGAGCAAGGCACCTAACCTTGAAACTGCTCCCTTGGCGCCGGATAACTAGCAGCCTCTCTGCTTTGCCACCTCTCCTCTGCACATGGTTGTGTGTGTGCATGTATATCCTCCCCTCTGTGTGTAATGTGTGTAAACACAACAGAGTGGAGAAAGACATTTCCCTCTGAGGATAAAGTATGTCTTCTTCTTCTAAAGTGCTTGAATTGGTGTATTGGTGCAAAACTGAAAAATTAAAACAAATATTGCAAAAATCATGAAATATAAATATAGAGTAGAGTAGAAAGGTAATACAATACAAAATCCAAACAATATTAACATAAAATGTATATTCACAACATGTCTGATCTGCCAGACCCTTGTTGCAAACAAAAATCGGTAAACTAAACAAGGATTGGAAAATTCAACATTTTGGAAATTATATTCGACTGTTTTGGTATTAGGGAGTGATGTTAGAAGTAGAACTTTAAATATAAGAAAGCAGTGCTACCAAAAGCACGTGAGCTCTATGTTCTGGTTTTAGCTTTATGGTGCTTTCACAACTACAGTATGGGACTTTTCCCCACACTCACAGGGTACAGCTTCATATCCATGCACCAATGTTTTGGAAATCCTATCATGGCCAGAAAGATGAGTCCAAATACAGACATTATTTGTTCCTTTTTGTATATTTTTTTTACAGTACAAATTCTCTATGATTGTTATTCAAAGGGATAAAGTGCCACACACTCTCTCTACCCAATGCTATCAGAATGTGATCAATCAAACCACATGAGGAAATTAAAGGATCAGTCTGGTGTTATTTAATGTGTCTTATAATCAAAAAATCCCATATGCAGACCCATCCAACAACATTAGTCCGTCCCTCACTACTGAGTTAATGTCTGTGCACTCAGCAGAATCGCATTGGTTTCCGTTAAAAAGTTTACAAATGTATTTAAGAGTGTAATTTCTTTAAATTGCTATCTCAGCTTACAATAAGACTCGGTTTTTAGCCAAGCTTAGCCTATTTACTGAACTGATGACTGAACTGTTAGCATATCTCCATCCAAAGAGGTGAAATTCTACTTTCATCAACTCCCAAACCTAAGTCTGTATTAAAAACCATGTATGTTCAGTTCTGCCAAGATGGACCAAAACACTGTCAAACATTCTCTGAACTGAAGACTCCGCCTCCGCCTGTAGCAAAGGGTCACAGATCATTCAAACACAGTTTCACCCCAAATTTGTTCCTGTCAAACCATGAAGGCAGCAGCAGGACGCCCCAGCAGACAAAGAACCAGGTCTCCATGGTAACTGACAAAAAAACGACTGAATCTCTGCTCTTTAGCAATAGTTCATATATCACAAAAATACAGATAAGTAAACTGTTGTACATTTAGAACAAAACTGTGTCATATTAGATGTTTGGGCACTTTAACATACACACTTAAGTCAATACCTTTCAATTACATAAAAATATATATCATTTACAGGGACCAAAAGTAATGGTTGCCAAATGGCCATTTACATTTGGCAACCAGTTCTTTGACTTATTGGCATCGGGACAGCAAACAGCAAGACTTCCAACCAAAAATAATATTTGTTTTACATTTTTGCTGCATTTCATTTATGATATAAAAATATTGCTGTTGCATTCCACCCTAAAAAATCTCAGAATTGACCAGTAGATGAAAAAACCGTTGCCAAAATCTGTTTCACCCGCCACAAGTAACCGCTTTAAACAAAATTACTTTCAACCAAACTTCCTCTTGCCCCTCCTACTTCCACATAAGCCCCACCCACCATCATATAAGACCCCATGCGGCAGGTGATGTCACCAAGGATCCTCCTATGGGACAGCTGGTTGATGACCACCACAGGAAGGCATAGCACCAGGACCAGGAAGTCCCAGAACGCCATTCTTTAAATTGCTATCTCAGATTACAATAAGACTCCGTTTATAGTCAAGCTTAGCATATTGACTGAACTGATGACTGAACTGTTAGCATATCTCCATCCAAAGAGGTACAATTCAACTTTCTGTCTGTATTAAAAACCATGTATGTTCAGTTCTGCCTAGATGGAACAAAACACTTTCAAAAAATGACTTTCAAGCAATCTTTCTCTTGCTCCTCCTACTTCCTCATAAGCCCCACCCACCTCCATATAGGGCACCATGCGGCAGGTGATGTCACCAAGGATCCTCCTATTGGACAGCTGGTTGAGAACCACCACAGGAAGGCATAGCACCAGGACCAGGAAGTCCCAGAACGCCATGCTGGCCAGCAGGTAGTTCCAGGCCGACCTCATGTAGTAATTGTTCCAGACGATGCACATGACGGCCATGTTTCCCACCACGCCCAGCGCCAGCACCAGGCCGGCCAGGAACAGAACCGCGTAGGCCGCGTACGAGCCCTCCGCCAGCGGGTAGAACGGGTTGAAGAGTCCCGGGGCGTCGGGGTCCGAGCTGGAGGTGTTTCCGTGGACGTGGTCTCCTGCTGCTACTTTAGTCCCGTTGTCAAACGCCGTGTCATGTGGTGTCGTCACGGAGTCGTTCTCGAAGGACTGGCTGAAGGTGGACTGTTGTTCTTCTTCCTCTGCGCCGCGGGCCAGGCGGCGGGGTTGGTCCACATCTAGATCCAGCATTTCTGGGAGTGGGAGGCTCTTGTTGGGGGCCTCGCCGGTCTTGAGCTGCTTGGAGATCCAGAGTGGTTCCAGTTTGACGAGGGATGAGGGTTTGTTGAGGGTGTCGCTCTGACTGTCAGGTTGCTGAACGGTCTTTGCGTCCGTCAACAGAAGAGGCAGAAAAAGGCCCAACCACAAAGCAAGAGTAGGGGCCATGATCCAAATATTTAATGTGGATGATTCCTCTTAAGATTCTTCTTATTGAACTTCAGACCTGGGTGCTGAGCTTCAATTAAAATGCCAAGAAAGTTCCCAAAAAGTGCCAATATTCAGGAACCAAATGACCAACTTGATGCTTAGCAAATTCTACGGTACCTTTCAGAGAGACGCAACTCTAGTTCAGAGATTCTGGAAAATGACTTCAAGACTGACGTTTGTTGAGTAAAGTCGACAATTCCAGGGAAGAAAAAAGGTTAAAATGCACCAAAGTGTGCAGCTGGTTGCTAGATGTCTACCAACGTTTCAGAAAGTTTCTAGATGATGAAGAAATGCAGATGTTTGCTAGATCGTCCAATAGATTTTTAATTGGTTTGTAGTCCAGAAAAGATGAAGGTGTCTTCTCTTCTCTTCTCTTCCCTTCTCTTCTCTTCCCTTCTCTTCTCTTCTCTTCTCAGGCTTGTGGTTTTAAACTGTCAATACCCCCAGGTTTCCCACTTTAAAACTGGACTGTGTTCTTCCCATCCATTAGTAATCCAAACAGGCACTGGAGCTCCAGGAGGGGGGGCGTAGGGCGAGGGTCCGTGTCCGTGTCGGGGCTGCTGTGTCTGGGCTGCAGATAGCAGAGAGACTGGGCG